ATTATTCAAACTTACAAGTTCGGGTGATTACTGTTTGTTTACAAACGTTGTATAAAGTTATAGATATAGTTTGATACGTAGTTTTATAATCAATGTGCCTGATGTCGCCGGCGGCAGCAGGTGGAAGTATATTGATGTGTAATCGATTATTCATTGATATTCTATTATTCTTAGTACGCGGATAAAACATGCAATCGTCCAGGGAAATCTCAAATATTATCACGACATCCATACTGTGACTGTTGTTTCTATGAGAACTATTCAGATGATGGTTTTGTGTAAAGCCCATATCCAATAGATAGATAAATATGTGACCCTTATTAATCACGCAGTTTCTAAGTAAAATCTTTCACTGACTTATACTTAATCCCTACCTTTTAGTAAAGTTATAGTTGACATACTCGTGAGAAATGAGCTCTCTAAGCCTTCACATTCAGCCCTTAGCAACATCGCTGCTGCCTCTCGAGCGCTCCTCAGTAGTCTGTAGTGTAGGGCTCTAGGGCTCAAAGCGCGGTACCTAGACAAAGCTCCGATAAGAGGGCGCGATCTAGGTCAGCTGATACTCGCCGCGAGAATATTTGAACTGCACCCTTCCGCCCTCTGTCGTTTCGTACCAAACAGTAAGCACACCACTTTACGTAAATAGTACAGAGTGCGTGAGGGTGCAATGCTAAGAGGCTATATTGCGAACGCCATCTGTTGAGTGCTTTGCCAATAGGTAGTATACAAACTACCCACAAAGTACATGGTCAGGCCAAGTAGATGGCGGTAGTGGTAGACTGTAATTTGTGTTTAATACTAACATGTACAATTTGTTTTGTTCCAGATGTATAGATCAATGGTTTGAAGTGAACAGATCGTGCCCGGAGCACCCCGGGGACTAGTAGTGCGGCGCGGCGCCGCCCGTGCCATGTCGCGAGTGATACTTTTTTACTGAACTGACTGTGCCTGAGGGCCTTGTAAATATAAACTTATGCTAGTGAGATGTTTTACCGTTTAATGATTAAACAAAAATAAGAAAAAAAACAAAGACAATTATAGTAACGAAACGCTATGGGAAATTCTTGGTGGAGTATTAATATAAATAATACTATAATTATAAATTTTACAACGTTACTGTTTACTTGAGACGCGGAAATGATAGTTTGTTTTATTTGATATGTATAATGTAAATTATAATATACTTGTATTGTATGTATAGTGGACGTTTGTTTTGTTTCGCAGTAAGGTATATACAGCAAGGGTTATGTTAGTGCTGGACTGTGATTGTCGCGGTTTACATATCTGTTCATTAAGCTTATATATTATAATATATGATTTGATCTTTTTCATCTTGATAATAAAGTTGATTTGTTTCTAAATTTTCTAAAATTGTTTTCTTTGTGTACCCTAATACATGTGGAGTGCAGTACGGCCGTCCTATGAATTGTACTGTTGTAATCTCCACCACACGATTGCCCTCAATCCTCAATGTTATTCCGAAGTTATCCAGTAATGAATAAAATACTGCTGAATTAAAACTAAATATTTTTTTACATAGTTAATTTTTTTTCTTATGGCATAAGCCGGTAAACCAGCAGACGGATCACACTGATGGTAAGCAATCGGCGTCGCCCACGGACACCTGGAACACCAGAGGCGTTACAGGTGCGTTACCGGCCTTTTGGGGATTAGGAGTTTGAGGATCGTTGGGGATTCAGGAATTGGGGAGATTGGGAAAGGGGAGGGTAATTGAGCCTCCGGTAACCTCACTCACACGAGGAAACACAACGCAAGCGTTGCTTCACGTCGGTTTTCTCTGAGGCCGTGGTATCACTCCGGTCGAGCCGGCCCATTCGTGCCGAAGCATGGCTCTCCCACACTTAAATTCAGAATTTAAGTGTGGGGAAAATTTAGAATTTGCTACAGAAAGTGGGTACTTCGATATTTATAGTCCACTAAATCAGTTGTCACAAACTTTACTCCAAAGTACCTCCTAGGATCTCACAACACAGTGAAGTGTAAAGTTGTCAGGATATACTATATTTGAATAACTTTTGTGGCATGTAGTATGATTACTTTTTTTACTCGTTTCTTTTTTTATATTTGATAGTTTCTTTATGCTACCCTGGTACCAGCTTACATATTTTTATTGAAATGCAAACACACTACCTTTTTTTAAATGACGGGAGAAATCTACAAAAAACAAAGGGGCAGCGGGTCCTCTAAAAGAGACCTGCTCCGGAGCCCCCACGGCAACGCCTGTTACGGCACATCCCTAGAGAGCCGGGTGTCTCCCTTGAGCCTCGCTGTGTACGGCAGCTCGTGACCACTGTGCCGCCATCTTCCCTGGGGCCACTGGATGGGCAGCTAGAGTTCCCACTCTATGCACCCGTGGCCCCAAACGAGCAACACCTCCTACTTACTTCCTTACCCACTTAACCTTTTGAACGCCAGAGCAAAAACGCATGAACTTGCCCTCAACGCCAGGCCACAAATTCACCGCAAATACCTACGAAAAAAATAGGGATTCCAAAACTTCATCGATAATCAATTTTATTTTCATTTTCGTCTTTAATTTCGAAATATAATGTCCTTATAACATTGAAAATTAATTCAACATTACATTTCTTCCTATTAAAGTAATAGTTATACACTATTTACAGACTTGTATAATACCGTAATAACAGATATGAGACTACAATATATTTAAATATAATAACTGTAGGTACAACACTATTCTTGATCTGCTGTCTTCATATTGTGACCATGGCGTGGACGGCCCGCCATTTTAATAACTACTTCGCTTCCGAAATAAGGATGTGGCAACGTAATATCTCGTTTATCGATGTTCTAGTACAATATTATTTTATAATAAATAAAACACGTTTTTTAAATCAGATTTATAATTCCGAATGTAACAGGTACTTAAAAATATATGATTGAAATGGGTTAAGAAGGTAAATAAAAACTATGAAAAAATAGAAAATTTTAATAAAATGTTATACAGTATGTACTATGTATACATGTTTTTAAATGTTAAGTTCTATAAACCTGGCATAAAAAGTAACAAATTAAAACAATTAACGATTATATATAATTATATCACAATTACCAATCAGTCTTATACTAATAAATCTTTTGAATAATAGAACAAAATTATACAAAATCTACAATGCAACCTGCATTCTGATCATCTAATTCGCTGGGTGCAAAGTGGGTGGTGGGGACAGTGAAATCGATCTCAGCGCGCACCGTGGCTAAAAAAGGAACTGTTGGCAGACTTTATTCCACGAAGTTCTTCCGTAGTCATTAAATTCCCACTCATTATAATAGTCACTTAATATAAATCTTGAACTCGATATCACAAGTAAATTAATCATAAATATTATTCATTCACTTCACTAATTTCTGGTCGCCGCGCTTGTGACGTCACGATATTGTCGTCTAGTCGTGACCATGGCGTACAGGGTACTGATAATTCGGGTTGCGTTAGGGATGCGCTTGAGTTGGGATTAGTGAATATCGAAATTCGACCCAACCAAATTTTATTTTTGATTATGTAGCTTATTGAATGATTTTTAAGACTGGTTTTATAAAATTAATGCTGCTTTATCCTAGTACCAAATTATACCTAAAATAATATATTCCAGAGGAAAGTTTCGAATCGATCTTTGATTTGAAATAATAATATTATCCAACATGCGCTACATCACTAGCGGTCACGCAGTTATGACTCTGGCGTGTGAGGACATTCTTTTTTCAGAGTTTATTTCTTTCTTTTTAACGTAAAATTTCTCAATATTTATAATGCAATTTAATTAGTTTTATGGAAATAAATAAATTTTGGACCTTCTATTTTACAGGTATATAAATAAATAGGCATTAAAGTAATGTTTAAATAGTTTATTTCGTGTTTTAATGTACCGCTGTTTTTGTCACATATTTGTGTCGTTGGCGCTCAGGAACAGTTTTCGCTTGTCACGTATTTGTGACCCTGGCGCTCAAAAGGTTAAATAATACACTTCTTACTATATTGTGGAGTCTCGGTACTTCAGAACGAATGTGGTGTATTTTTGTTAATTAATTTTATGCATTGAAGAATGTTTATCCACTTTTATAATACACTTTTTACTATGATGTAAAGTCCTGGTACCTCAGAACGAATATGGTTGTTTTTGTTACCAACTGATCGGTGATTGAATGTTAGTTTTTTTGGTTACATATGTCTTAAGCAAACTGTTTGAAGCAAACAGAGTAACCGATATTGTTCACCAAAAGCAGTTTATTCTACTTGTTTGATCCCCTTGCAGGACAATGTCTGTCAAGATTTTGAAATTGCAAATGTGAAAGTGCGTGCATAATTAAAATGAGTGCTAAATTAAGCGCAGCTTTATAAAATATCTTACCGACATTTAGCTTAAATAAGAATTAAGTCAAGGAATCAGTAGCTGTAGCCAAATGCCATTTAAAGGTTGTCTACTTGTAGAATAGAAAACTAAATTACACGGGATTGACGTAAATTTTGACACTTGTCAGTGTTATCCTCATACATTTAGTTTTCTACTCTCCTGGTAGACAAGCGCTAAAGTGGCGTTTGGCTAAAGGCACAGAACTACTGAAATGAAACAATAAAGTACTTATTAGCATAACATAATATATTGTTTTTCATTCACTACTACATACACTGAGCACTAATTGTGCGTAACATAAAGATAATATTATACATCACCAAATACTCTGATGGACTGTAAGAAATGTATTTACTTTCTTACCAAATCTATTATCTATACATAAAATATTCAATAAACGAGCCATGAAGTTGCATCAACAATATATGGCTCGACATTTTTACATTCAGTCAATATTTTACATACCGTACTTTTAGTGCTACACAACACAATTCGGAAATAGTTTTAGATACAGTTCGAGACACATTTTGACAGCAGTTTGATAATATAAGTATGTGTAAGAGTAAAAGGTAAAGTACATGGTCAGTAGCAGGCCCGGGTGAGCGCGGGTCAGCGCATGAACGAGCGGTGGCGCGGCCCGCGGGACATGCGCCCGGCGCCGCCCCAGCCCATGCCACCTGGATCACATTAAATTATTATAATAAAATGAAACACACTAATTAAGAATAAGTTGATATCATTGAGGAGCCGTAAAATATCCGAAAGAGTACACAATGAGCACATTTTCTGTGTTATATCAGTTTTTAGCAGTTATGTTATGAGTCTTGCAATATAGACCAATGTCCTTCCATTACACCGGGTACAAATGATTTCGTGTTGAGAATTTTGAAAAATCTAATAATACTTAACTTAAGAACTGAACCAAAGAGACTGTTTGCTCGGTAGCCACACTTACGGCCACTGGACTAACGAGGCCGGCAGGTAAAGTACATATAATCTTTGAGTTGCTTAAAAATGCTACTCACCCATCATGTACTGAGACGCAGGCGGGAAGTGTCCAAAGTGTGAAGCTCCCATCTCCCACGCACCGCGTCCCCGACTGTAAATAATAATGAATCAATTTTAATGTGGTATTAACCCACAATTTATAAAACAAACAACTTATTCTGTAATTATATAATATTGAACAAAAATTCAACACGTAGCAGCACCAATTGTAGACTTACATCATCAATTAGTAAATCGCCACATCTATTGATGAATGTCATCAAGAAATGGCGTAACTTACAATAGTAACAAGTAGTTAACAATATTAGTACTGCATGTGAAGTGGAATAGTGTCACAGGTAACTTCCTTGTATAATGTCGTCAGGAACAAATGTTCTGTACTCACAGATGTCGGTAGTGGGCATGCATGGGGGCCGCCGACGCGAACCGGCCGCGGTCTGCCACAGCGATGCCACGTCGCATACCTCTGTAAATACATACAATTGTCTATTAAAGATTGAGCTCACTGGTTTGGCATTAGAGAAGTTTATGTTTGTCAAAGCCCTCTTATGCAGAGGAGCTCAGCAGGTCACTATCATGGAAAGTTGACACGAGGATTAGTATATAAGCTGATGATGAATTTTAAAGTGTAATGTCTCTGACCTGGTAAGCTGCGTGGCGGTGTAAGGCTGATGCAGGGCAGTGAAGTCATCGACGTGCAGCGAGGGGGGCCGCGACGTGTTGGGGGGACGCGAGCGGAATGCGTCGGCCCCCCCCTCGGCCCGCACGCGCGACAGAGCGACGGGCGGCCGCTTGTCGTCGCGCGGCGCGGCCTCGCCCCCCCCTCCCCCCTGCAGCGCGGCGCAGCCCGCCAGGCGCCGCACCGCGCCACACAGCGCCTCCCCGCCGCCCGCCACCAACTGCGACGCCAGCGACACTACGTCGCATGGGACCTGGAACACCGTACCAGTCAATCATACATCAAGAACACCAGAACCAGCATTGAAACAATTTCACTGTGCAACTGTCAAAAAAGATCTCATCCAAGCTTCGCATGAGATGGATGAGTGCACTCAATATCTAAATAGATAAACGATTATTATATGTGTCACCCACCAGTTCACTATCATTGACGTCGTCCTCCCCCCCTGCGGCGGGTACATTGAGCCAGTAGCTGGAGGTAAGTCTCTCATCACTGGCCTCCCCGAGTGAGTAGACAGTCCGCGCCTGGAACTGTGCGACGAGGGTCTCCGGCGCCGGCAGCACCATGTCCTGCACCTCTGGGGGAGTGCCGGGCTCCTCCAGGGTCTTCAGCTTCTGCAGATGACTGGCGAGAAAGCCCGCGTTCGCTAGAGCGTCTTCGTCGGAGTTTCTTTCCTGAAAACGGTGATTAAAATTGCTGTGTTGTTCTCTTGGCTGTGGAAGGAAAGTCTACGCTTAATATATGGCTACATACACACGGATACTAGCAACATGCAACAACAGGGACATGGAGTCACGAACATGCAATATTTCTGATAATGACAATAAAATACAGCAGAGGGTATAACTTAACATAGCTCTCAGTTAATATGAAATAAAATGTGAACAAAAACAAAAATGTAAGAAAGCATGAGTTAAATTTTGTTAGGATACTGTCAGAAATCAATACTCACTCTGAAAATCTTATCCAACTTGAGAACAGGATGCTCTTCATCGGAAGGTGAGTACCCCACCATGTCAGCCATCTCGCCAACAGTCAGCATAGTCTTCCGACCGACTGAACCTTCGCCCTCTTCCATTTTCAGGATCCTGATGAGATCTATGTACAAACTCAAACACTCTGCTTTATCTTCTCCCTGCCCTTCCAAGGCCCATTTGAAGAACTTCCCGAGACTTTCTCTCCTTTTGGATACGAATTTCCTGAACTGTTGGAACCCGTACTCATGTTCCGTGAGGACGAAGTACGCTCGGAGTATAGACGATGCTACGGAGCAGGTCTTTGTGGTGGACTCGAGGCAGTCCGCCGTAGAGTCTAAAAATGCGACTAACGCGTCTTTGTTCGGCAAAGAGTTTGATAAAATGATGTCTGTCGTACCACCTACAGGAGTTAGAGTAATCTCAGCGTCACAGAAGGCTGCCAGTGCATGCGCCGCGTACTCTTGTGCCGCGGCATGTTCGTTGCTGGAGTTGGCCAGTCCCAGCACGGAGCCCAGCGCAGTCTGGACGTCGGTAGCTCGAGGACCACCACTGTTCATAGCATGCAGCACTGCGCATTTTACTGGCGCGTGCGACACTAAGCACGCTAGAAAGCCCAGTACTCGCGCCACGCTGGCAGTAGCTGGCTCTCCTGGTTTCAGCTCTCGCATAACAGCTCCAACAGCTGCACGGGCGACAGTGGCCGCGGTGTTGGGGGCGAGGTCAGCTATTTGTACACACACTCTGCGCAGCATGTGCACTACTGGCCGGTAGGTCGACATGCAGATTATCTGGATCATGTCAGTCAGGTCGTTAGATAGTGCGTGGAGATGAGCCGACCACAGTCGCCTCTCATTAGACGCATCTGCTAACTCCCGATCTGTAGGTGGCGTTTTAGTTTGCATTGGAAGGGGTAGTGGCAGTAGTTCAGAAAAGACTAGCAGGCCTGGAACGAACGTGTACGGAGCTGTCGTGATGTAGGAGATTACTTCAGAGCAGAGAGAAGTCCAAGGACCTCTGCGGATGGAATCACCATCGTTAGCGTCATCAGCTATGGGTTGAGCGTAAGCTAGTAATGCCCTTACTGAAGCTTCCGCGGCCTTAGCAGCAGTCCTGTACCCCACCGAGCCTACTGGGTATGCTTTGGCTATTCCGTACGTCTTCAACAAGACAGGAGCAGCCGTCAAATCGCGGAATCTTGGTCCTCGGCAGCGCACTACTCTAGATAACATGGAGTCTAATAGTCTTAGACAAGGAAGTAATATCTGCGCTAGTTGCAGGCCTTTGACCGAAGCGAATAATGAAGTGTGCATGCTAGGCTGGTCGAAATGTGTGGCCAGTCGGTCCAGGAGCCCGGCCAAGTGCGCCACACCGTCCAGGGAGAACAGTTGCAGCACGTTGTACTTATATTTCAGCTCGACATATTCCTCTGTTGCCGACTCGCACGCAATCGTAACATTGTTCTCGTAATCTGATATACAGTAGTGTCGCAAGATTCTCAAACACGTCATTAGCTCTCCTGGTAGGTCGGGAGCGTGTTCTAAGCTGGCCTTGAGTATTTCCACGCATTCGGCCATATCTTCCCCAGACAAAACTGTTGGCTTTTCAACAGGTTTCAGATAAGGAATCACCTCCTGTAGTACACTTGACACGCTCGGTTCGAATCTATCGTGTTCCCTGGACACAATGATGAGTCTTTGTCCATACTTCTTCAGGAATGGAACATTGGCAGCGAATCGCACCGCAGAGACAATCAACTCGATGGCATATCCTTTCGCTGGCGATTTTTGTTTTAAAGGAGATTCATTTTTAGTCTTAGATTTCAAGTCATTCTCGAATACCTCCATAAGGCATTCAGCGTTATCTCCCATCACAATAACATCTGGCACGGCAGTCCTACCGATGCTGCCAAAACTGAGACAGTAAAGTGATTGGAGACGATCGATCAATTCGTTTTCGTCGGCCTTCCCTGCCTGCTGGTCGCATATCGACTGCAAGTAATACAAAGCTTTCAGTCTATAAGCTAGTTCCAAGCCTAATATTTGTAGGTCGCTATAATTGCTCAGGTCATGAGGGTATACGAAGTCCTCAGTATTCTGTTGACTGTACGGCAGTGTCAGTGTCTTGAACAACAGTCCGCTCATCTCAATGTTGTTGTAGAGGAAGTTCAGTCCATTTTGAGAATTAATTAGTTCATAGATCAAATCATGGATAGGGCTAACTACGACAAGATTGTTACATGTTCCGGGACAAGTTAACAAATACAAACAAACTTCTAGGATTTGATGGATGTTGAAGAACTCGAGTAAGGTTTCATTAGAGCATTCTTTGCTGATCTCAAACTGAGCGGAGACGGGAAGGAAACGCTTTGGTTGCGACAAGTGGAAGCATTGGGACCGATACATGTGCAATATCTCCTCGAAGGAGTTCACTATGAAATGTGAGTCAGCTTCGGAGATCTCAGAGTCATCTCCTGATTTACTGAAGTCAATCACCAAATTCCGTAGCTTTTGCAATAGTTCATAAATGTTCAATTTCTTTATCAAGGCGCTGATGGAGAACTTCAGCCTGGCTAGAGGATTCGTTTGCATCATCGTTATTAATGCTTGATAACCATTTCTTGGTTTTCTGTCATCACTTTTATCAAACTTGGGGAAAACAGTTTCTTTCATGAAATGATCTATGGACTCCTTCGACGAGAGACAGGCGTTCAATGCCTTCAAAATCATGAGACGGATACTCAAGGCCATGTATTCCCTGGAATACATGTCCAGTAGCAACATAGGCATGTCTAGGCCAGACGAGAGGAGTAGTTTCGTCACTTCTCCGTTGTGTCTGTGGCCCGTCAGAGCTTCAGCGAGACGTATGCCGCACTTCATGTGGCGTATCTTGTAGGTTGGTTGTTGTTGTGCTAAAGCTAAGTCAAACGTCAGTCCAATCTTACAGAAAGATGTTAGCAGTTGATATATCTCAGTAAATTCATTTGTGGAATCACTCCGATTTGGACTCTTAAAGATTCTCAGAACAATGTCGGTATTTTTGAAAAGAGTAGTAATGGACACGAACAGTTGTTCACACTGGTGCACCCACTCCTCCCTCGCCGTGTTGTCGATTTCAAGGAACGTGCTCGCGAAGAACTTTTGGTCCAATTTTTTATTAGATTTTGCCAATTCTGAGATTTTAAATAGTTCTGGACTAGCATCACACAACTCATCAAATGTCGCAGTCAACACATTCTTGGCACCCTCTTTATTAGGTCCCAACAAATGTATTTTATTAACATATTCGTACTTCTTCCAATCACATTTGAAGGGATTGTAATATTTGATGATGTCATCCACGCCGCAGTAATCATTCACGTCATAATCGACTTCCATGTAAGCGGGACCCTCCATATCATCGCAAATGTCTTCGTCTGATAAAATAGGTTCAAACTGTTCCGCATCCATGGATCTGTCTTCGTCAATATTGCGGTTTGGTGATTCTATAGGCTTGGTGGTGGTGTTGTCAACTATTTGGACAGTGACCAAACTGTTATGTTGTTGTTCAGCATACGCAGCATTTTCTGCTTCTTGAGAGGGACTTCTGATTGAAGTTTTGTGTCGATAACTCTGGTGATAGAAGTCAACTCTTGGAATTTGTTTTCCACTTCTGTCATAGTCCGCACCTTCTTCAGAACGTATGGAGTTAATCGGGCTTGTAGCATCCACTTCTCTTGGAGATAAAGGTCTCCTGCTACTCTCTCCTGGTGGAGTTCTTGGTCTTTTGCGAGGATCATCTCGACTTGGAGAGCGGCTACTATAGCTAGATCCTCTGATGCGGCTGTAAGGCGAGTGACGCTTCCTGTCATAAGAAGATTGCTTCTCGTAAGAAGGTGCCCTTCGTTCATACGACGAGGCTCGCTTTTCATACGGAGATAAGCGCTTCTCGTAAGGAATTTTCCTCTCATATGATGGAGCTCTCTTGTCGTATGGAGAGCGACGTTCGTATGAACCAGCGTCTTTATCGTACGATCCGCCACGAGACCTATCGTAGGACGGCTCGCGGTGTCGGCGGTAGTCGTCCTTCTTGTAGGCTCCCCTGTCCCAGTCTCGGTCACGGTCGCGGTCGGTAGACATTCCTCGCAATCTGTCGATGCTACGAGATCGTGATCGACTGAGCGGCCGATATTCTCCTTTAACTACATAATCTCTGTCGCGACTCCTGGATCGAGATCGAAGTCTATCCATCCTATCGATTTCCCTGCTTCTATCTCGAAGTCTAGAAGACTCGCGGCTTCGTCCCCTGTCGAGGGAACGTCTCCGACTGCGCGCATCTCTCCTATCTCTGTCGTGGTCGATAGAGCGCGGGCTGTGTCGCATCCTGTCAGGTTCTCTTTCACAGCTGAGGTCTCTCTTCTCCCAAGCATTCTCTTCCATGTGCTGGTAAGTCCTGGGATCTTTTGGTTGTTCAGCCTCATAGTAGTCGCCTCTGTACATCTGACCCTCATAATTCTCTGGATAGTTGTTGGGTCCATAGACATCAGGGTTAGCAGCTGCAACATTACCAGTGTAGGCAGGTATTGGGACAGAGGGCTCCTGGCTCCACTCAGGGTTGGGTGGGACAGTGGGTGCGGGAGCTGGTGGCACTTCTCGGGTGACCACAGGTCTCTGTACCACTGGAGGAGGATTAGCACCCACTGGAGTTTCAGGCAGAACTTGGGTCAGGTTACCATAGACTGCCAAAGTGATTGTTGTGTACCATCCTGGAATGTATAGTAATAGTTAAGGTATATTATAATGTAACATTTTTTTTCAACATTTTGTTTTGCTGTCAATTAGACAAGATAGGTAGTCAAAACCTACAATCTATGTGATCTCATTTAAACTTATGTAATATTATGAATGTGGCAGTTTCTTTGTTTGTTTGTACTTTTTATTTCAATTAAATGGTCCCAAGGGATAACAGAGGAATAAGCCGCGGGTAAAACCTAGTTTATAATATTAGCGTGATTTATTTGTTCTTGTTTTCTATAAATGTTGTGATGATTCAAGGAATGCAATGACTTCTCTTATTAATATAACCTAATGGTGAGTATTAAGTATATTTAGCCTGCTATCGCTGTGTCTTAATTTAACTCAAATACTTTCAATGACAATTTTAAAGAATTTAAATGAAATCATTAAGTTATATTACCAAATAAATAAGCAATATTTTTACAAAATACCTAACCCCTAAGAGCAAGCCAGGAATGGAACAACATTTACATTCAATTACTATATGAACTGAGACGGACAATAATAATAAACCAGTTGTGACAAATGAGTAAACAGTTTACGTATATCATTTTCTTACACCCAATTTTATTAACTCACAGTGCAGTGCTACTAGCGGAAATAAGTCTGTGTATTATCTTCCCATGCCAATAAAATTATGAACTTTGCATGAACATTAAGGTTATTTTCTTTTTCAATCACTTTGACTAGATTTTAGTGTTACATTGTTCTCGCATAATCCAAACAGCAAACTATGTAACTAGAGAATTGTATTGTGAACCTGATTGAAAAAGAGTAACCTATGGAGTTTCTTGCTCGTTCTTCTCCATAGGAATCTACACCTTGGAATGAGCAAATAGCTTCACTTTTAATTTTATTATTGACTTTCAAAAGTGCCTTTCTAGTCTAATTGAAATAAATGATTTTGACTTTTGACTTTGACTATTGAACCCCTATATTTTTAATTAAAATTTGTCATCAAATTTATGACAAATTTTAAATATTTATTTATATAATTTATAAGTAGTAAATTAATTTAATACATTTGTATGCTGTTGATGGCAAGACATAGCAGGTCAATTTAAAGTTTGTAACATCTTTTGTAACCTATGATCTACAAATAAAGTAATTTTAATTTTGAATATAGACTGTAATTTACATTTTAGGAATAACTGAAAAATTACTAACCTCTAAGCACAAGTCCGTCAGTTGGTATCCTGGGCTGATCCAGTCCACTCCCACACTCCATATGTATCTGTCCATTCTGGCAGTAGTCCAGGCTGCCCAGAGCCTCGAACGTCGACGCACCAGGCTTGCTCAGGTCGTTCACAAAGAAGTCTATGTGAAACTTTGTAGGGTTTGTTGCTCCCAGACGCACTCCGCCGGGAAAATCGCCTTCCACGCGCGCTCCCAAAGGAATTATACGTATCTCTCTCACGTAAACTGACTTTGGAAACTGCACCAAATCCAAATTAAGCTCCTGGAACATAAATAGTGACAAAAGTTTATACAGGTTACGGTAAATTTGCCGAAACAAGCATCAAACAAAACATGCATTTATCTTACCTCACTCGTGTCGTGGGAGAATGTATCGAAAAACAACAGGTCCGGCTGTTCGTTAGTCGACATTTTATTGGAATTTTCAACGTAACATAGGCATCAAATAAATTGATTAATGATTTTAAATCATTTTTAATTTAGAACACACAAACGCGTCCTCTGACTCCTCTGATACTGATAGTGACATTAAGTCATTGTTTACGATTATCGGCACGTTGTAGTTGGGCATAGTTTGTGTCTCTAGTATTTACAATGTGGGTGAAAGAGAAAGAGACTCATGAAAATGTCAAACTTTAGAACATTTTGGTGGCGAATCTGGAATGCCGGCCTAATGACGTTTTAAATGCACTGATGTTTACTTTGGTGCTGCCATGCGAAAATATTTATGAGTGTGGTTGAATTTCTAGAGCCACTTTCATATCTATTTTGGTTTTTGTAATATATGCATTGTTTTGCCATATTGTATTTTGTTTTTTGATATTCATCTAAAGGTGACAAATTCTAATTCTAAAATACAACACTTGACTCGGGAATTTACCGAAATGCCGAAAACATTAGGCGATGTATGTGGGACTATTTTTTTATAATTATTATTACCTGTAATTACCATACTTCGTGCAAATAAACGTTCTTATTCTTAAGCCGAGATTCATTAAGATTTGCTTTGACTTTTCGAATAACGAAAAAGATTCGTATTAGGAATAGGTAGTTACAAAAGTAACATAATTAATTTAGAATTTTATAATGTTCTACCTGTTGCCCGCGACTTCGTCCACGTAGAATAAGTATTTTAGAACATAACCCTATTGTGGTTAATGTTTCCAAAATAAAAGTTATATGCCTTTGTTACTTCTTAGTACATCAGCTACCCGCCAAAAAAAATCGGTCCAGTCATTCCAGAGAATAGCCAGTACAAACAGACAGACAGATAAAAATTGCAAAAAGTGTTATTTTGGTATGTGTATTGAATTTATATATTCATAAGTGTGTACTAAAAAGCGGTTATTTTAATATTACAAACAGACATTCCAATTTTATTTATCTGTAGGTACAATGTAAGCAGTAGGTATATTTTTTTATGGAATAGGAGGCGAGCAGACGGATCACCTGATGGTAAGCGATCAGCGCCACCCATGAACACCCGCAACACCAGAGGAGTCACAGGTACGTTGACGGCCTTTTAAAAAGGAATAGGTACGCTCTTTTCTTGAAGGTTTGAAGGTCGGTTTTATTTATAAGGTTTATTTATTTATAATTCTTTGAAATATTATTTTCCTCAAAGATTCGGTGCTTGGCGGTACCATGCAAGTTTGTGAATCCAAATGTTTGTAAGGAAAACCACAGAAAATATAACTAGGTACCCACCTCAAGTATTAAATACATATGTCTAGGTCGGTAATAGTATAGTTTAGATGTCTTTTTATTCGTCGGCTTAATCGTTTACTGGTATTTTCTCAATCGATATTTTTACCTTTTGACCAATTTTATGCTAATAAGTGAAATAATATTTTATAGTTATATATTTCAGGCCGTTTATTAGAAATGTCAGAACCTCATTATCACAAATTAGTAGCGCCTGATGTTTACGATTAGCAAATACTACTAATGTAGGAACGAGTCTTTGCGGAGCTGTGACTGTGCCAGGTATACTTTAAATATTCCTTGATTTACTACTTCACCTGTGAATTTAAAACATAGGTACCTACTCAGATATAAAATTAAACATAATTAATAGTTAGGAACTAGAGAATTGAATCACGACTAACCTCCCTACTCTACCAACCCCACAGCCTGAGTCGTAGGTACTTGCGGAGGCTCTATCTATATATCAAAAGGGCAGTAAATTCTTGATTTTGAACTGATGCGTATAGAATGATAACGTGTTATTTACCAGTGGGTATACATAGTGAAATCTAGTTGATTACCCACAATGCACTATCAGTGAAGTATACATTACAAAAATATTTATATCTGTGGAATAGTCGTCAGATTGACTGCCAATGGTTCTGTGAATTATTACACATTTCGATGTTCACTTTTTTATTTCGTTGTTTTCTTACATCCATATCTTTTTATGGGATAGAATAGGGGTCGACAAACAACCAGGACCAGATGAATTACCTGATAGTAAACAATCGGCGTCGCCCATCCCATTGATACTCGCAACAACAGAGGAATTACAAGTAACACAACGCATGCATACGTTGTGTCACGCCGGTTTTCTATGACCCTGCATCTGAAAATTACGAATATAGAAATCTAGAAATAAGAAACGACTTGAGTTCGCCGCTGCGTCAACAACGGCAGAGCATGCTCCGTGGAGGAGCGAAATATTGTTGAGTGTAGTTCTAGTGGTTTGATGCGTGCCGTGTGTCTTAGTGTCGCATCTATGTTGCATGAGCATATTTTTGCGGGCGGGGACCGCAGTGTTGCTTAACGCATGCTTCAAATTCATTACTAAAATAAAAACTACATATATTTACCCAGTTGTTAGTGTTGCATGGATTTCCGCAAACTAAAGCCTGATACTATTATAGTATATAGTTTGGGTTTTTTTTTTTTAAGGGGGGAAAGTCATCGAATGACTGCTCCCACCTGGGTGAGGCGGGAGGGAGTGTCAGACTCTTACTGACTAAAAACCACCCCGTTCCTTCTCCTGCACGTCGAGCCGGAGCCCCGGTTACCCGTTAGGTTCTCTGCGACATATAGTTTGCGTAGAGAGGAATCGATGAAGAGTAGACGTAGAGAAGGAGAGTAGTAGTAGACTTTTCCCTGCATTGGGACGATCATGGCTGAATAAATAAATAAACAAAAGTATAAAAAAATATGCCTGAGTTATTTAAATTATTTTACTATCGCATTATTGTTTGTATTATTACAGGAATTCTATTCAGAGATTCAAGTATTTCAGGAATGTATTCGCACAGCCAGACAATTCCATTTGTTTATTATGTGGTAATGCACATAAAATATGTACGTACATACAGGTAGGCATAATAAATATAGGTACGCTTAGCTATGAATGACTGGGATTTTAGTTTTACTTATTGCTTTACAGTTTATGCAGCTAAGGTACTTAGGAAATAGTTTATTAATTCGTTAATTTTTCACTAATTTCCTTATTCCCATCATTTTATCGATCGAAGAGATTGCAAATTTACAAATGTCGAACCATTTTTTTTTATGGAATAGGAGGCAAACGAGCAGACGTATCACCTGATGATAAGCGATCAGCGCCGCCCATGGGCACCTGGAACACCAGAGGATTTACAATATCGAAAGTTCCTAGTTTCATGTTTGTCCATTTACAATAAGATTTCCAGAACCTTTTCAGATAATAGCTGGTACAAGCGACAGACAATACTGTTTAAATTAAAATACAAGTTTAATGTCAACTTTATACGAGCACTATGGGTAACCTAGCCACGAACAGTAGTTATTTGTCGCCTTTTGGTTTTTAAGTCTTATGGGGCCTTAATCATCCGCGTCTGATTCGACGCCCACCCATCAAATGAGCATCCAGCGGCATAACGTGACAACACGTAGGATATTATCTATCCAGGATCAGAGTCCCTGCTATAAATACCAAGGTGTTCATACAGATTGTGAAGGTAGATGCGCACACGGCCATAGCTTGGCGTCAGACATGGTCTATTATGATGTCAAGAGATAAGTCAGGGTTTCTACCGCTATTCAGTTTATTTAAGATCGGTTATAAATGAGACTGTCGATCATGTGCCGAGTTGGTGAAAAGAATTGTAGAATTTTCAATAAAATTCATTCTATCTCACTTCGGATTTCGTCAATTCATATAACAAGTACAGTTACGTAGTACATACTTATCACATAAGGTGACCCTGGTAATTAAGGCATACGTATAAAAAAACCAAAATCGAATTATAAAGAATTTTATGTAACATAAAACCCATACCCGCGATAGAAGCCATTTATTTATAAATATTGTAAACTAGCTTTTACCCGCGGCTTCGCCCGCGTCACAAAAGGATCAAAAGTAGCCTATGTGACATATACCAATACACACAGCGCCATCTACACCAATAATTTCGTTTTCCCTCGAGAATATCAATTTTGTCCGAGATAAAAAGTACCCTATTATTTAATCCAGACTTCTAACTTCACGTCTGCAAAAATTCAAAGCAATTGGTTTAGTAGTTACGGCGCGAAAGTGGAACAAACAAACAAACTCACTTTCCGATTTATAATATTAGTAAGGATAAGGACTAGTAAGGATGAGCAATACATCGCGCGGGTAACTGACCGCGGAAGACGGGCTATCCCCGCTATCACAGATGTACCTACTATAAAAACATTAAAATTATTTAGGTATGCAAAACAAAAGAATTTTGTTTGTTTGCTTGTCACATCTCATCTGAAGCAATCAGGCACACCGCACACGTCATGTTCTTACAAAGAGGTTGTAGTAAAGGTTTACGATGGGTCTCGTTATCTGCACAATGCTACTAGGGTTGCGCCTCCATCCAATTGTTCCCGGCGCTGTGTAGGGCTCCGGGAGTCGTGCACCGTGCTCTGTTTACCCGCTACCTGCACGCTGCAACCCTACGACCACCTGTGCGAGCAGTGTTGCTAGCTTAATGATGAATACGGCGCTCGGGGAAATACGAGTATGATACGTTGCTATGTTGGTGGCATGCTCTAATGCTATGGAAATAGTAAATAATTTGATTCGATTTGATTTGGTGTTTTTTATTATAATTTCATCAGTTAGGTATTAGGCCATTCAATAATTTCTGTCTAGAATCCGTAGTGGAAGTATATACATGCTCCACTATTATAAAAAGTACTTACTATTTAAAAGTTTAGAATAAATTAATAAAATACAATTAATCACACTCACAGCCACATTCGAAACCCTTACAGTTTCACGACCACAGTACATACTAGTGTTACCTGTCTAATGCTGACTAATGCATCGTTTTATTAATTTAGCAATATCCTAAGGAAAGTTTCAGCAACCCCGTCACAATAATACTTCTTTACGCAAACTCGCGTGATAAACAGAGGATTAGTGCAAGTAGGTGTATGTGTGC